TTCGGCTTTTTTTTCGATTAAGTTTGATAGTAAGAACCATTTTTTTCTCACTTTTCCTCTCTTTTTTTTCAATTTTTCTCTGCTGGAGCAATATAGCCCGACCAAACCACAATCATTCCCCATCCAAATCACACAGTAGTGTAACGTGAGGGACGCAATAACACAATATTACCAAAGTATAAAAACCAACAGCAACACCACAAATATTCTTCTGCATTAGAACAACCACTACAATGGCGCAACCACAATTCTTTCATTCTACTAGTCCCAACACTCGTTGAATAACTTTATAAGAATCCCATGCGCATGATACCTACAGTGAACTCCACACTGCACAAACTATTGAGCTCCAGATATAACCTCAATTCTATGATACCACGATAAATATGACCATTCCTCCAGAATCTTGCAACCTCTCTATACTTTATAGATGCGCCGACACGGTAAACTCTGACTATCGCACGTCCTAGTGCGGCAGTCAACCGTCAGCATTCGGTCTATTAGTTATCTCCACCGGTAAACAGATGTTGACACATGTTGAATATTAGAACGCTCGACCATCCCTGACTTCATTTAGGTCGTAAAATGCCGTCACGATATCCTCCTCATCGGTAATTGTTGTAGTGACTTCTACCAATCCCTCGACATCCAACGCCAATCTTGTCGACCACACCATATTTGGAGTAAGCTGCAACACTTATCACACGTTAGAACACAAAAAGGCCACTTATTATTTTCAATTCATAGCAAGTCGAAGTTAGTCGTTTATCACATCGCTTAAAGATTTCAAACTTCAATAGTTTGTAAATCAAATTTCGCATGAACTATCAAATTATAACAAAACTCGATCAAGTTAATTTTTCACTGAACGTAAACTATAACTCATCTAGAAAGCTCCCAACGTTTCCTTCGACATTTGTTAACATATTTAGGTACGTTAAGAAATTATGAAAGTACTCGAATGTAGTTTTAACATAAATCAAACAAAATTATTTAAATTTTGGATTAAGACTTTTCACTTTTAACTTTCACTCTATACTTTAATGATAAACTTTATATCGTAAGTAGGATAGCGAATTTCATTCAACTTTTTAAATAAAAACAAAGGCATCAACGCTAAGCGCAATATTATCTTTCACAAACGTAATAACCCTCTTACTATTTAAAACTTAAATTTGGGACTTTATCCCATGTAAGCGAATACAGGGAATTTATTCCATAAAAATTAAATCCCCGTTATTGCCCACATATAATTTTGAGAGTGTGCGCAACTCTCTAGCGGCTCCCACGAAGTTTGTGCCGTTGTCGCTCCAAATGTTGGTACAGAGCCCACGGCGAGCAACAAATCGTTTGAACGCGCTTAGAAATCCTTCGGTTGTAAGATCACTAACAACGTCTAGATGAATTGCTCTAGTCGCCATACAAATAAAAATACATATATATTCCTTATATGATTTGTATCCTCTGCCCTTTGTTGTCCGTACGTGGATGGGTCCAGCGTAATTAATTCCACAGCATTTAAATGGTTTAGAAGGTGTTACTCTAGCAGCTGGAAGCTGGCCCAATAAAGGCGTGGCAGATTTTGCCCTGTCCTTGAAACATGTCACACATTTTCTGACATGTGATTTTGTCAACAGTTTGGAGCCTAAAATCCAGTATTTGGATTGCAAATATGTAAGCATAAGCTGCGGACCTCCATGTAGTGTTTTTGTGTGGGCATCAGCGACAATTAAATCCGTTACAGGCGATTTTTTTAGGAAGCAGAATCGTATGCTTTTTGTTTGTGTCCAATTGGGATTTTTCCAGACGTCCTCCCACTCGTAGCAGTCCTGATTCATCTACAAACGGATTTAAAGGTTTAACAGGACCCTTGATTTTATTCGGTTCATTAGCTTTCAAAAGTTCAAATTCCCTTTTAAAATGTTCCCGTTGGCATTGTCTAATACAGGTGTCAGTAGCATGTTTTAACTCTTGAGCTGTAAGGTAATTATGACGGCGTTCAGAGTTATTTTTACCACACAGGAAACGCCTGCAATAAGCCACCACTCTTACCAGCTTGGTCCATGAAGAGTGTTTGTCCCAAATAAATTTATCCATTTCAGTAAAGTGAACCTTTCGTATTTCCAACTGAGTTTCATCGTTTTTTGGTTTAGAATATTTTACGGTCTTTTCCTGAAGAAGCGGTGGACCATAAAACCACAAAGTATTTTTCAACAAATCTGATGGATTTAGCCCTCTCGATGCGCAATCAGAAGGATTCTGGCTGGATGGAATATGTGACCATTGATTAGAATCAAGTGTGCTCAGAATTTCTGAGACACGATTTCCAAGAAATGTATGCCATTTGCTTGGATGTCCTCTCAACCAGGCCAAAACCACTTCTGAATCTAACCAAGCATGAATATGAGACCTAATGATTTCTTATATTTACGCGAACACTATACATGATTAAAACTACTTTTACAAATTTTATCGCGTTTATTTTTACTTTTTATTTTTAATTCCCGATGTTTCGGGCGCTTTCCAGCACCCATGGTCACGGGGGACTGAGATGACTGACGTCCCGATGTCATTGTTAAACCCGGAGTACCTTCAGCTTTTTTAATTATTGTTTATGGTCCGATCTATGCAAAATGAACTGACTATGTCCTGAGGTCTTGCAGTGGTATGCTTGGGATCTCTTGCTTGCTAAACTGCAGACTTCCTGATCTGCATCCTGATGTGATCATATCCTAGACGGACCCAACCATTACATCAGATTTGATAGACCACAAATCCTCGCGAAAGAACACCGATTCCTACAAAGGATGATACGTGAGGCTATTGAAATTAAAAAAACATCCTAATTTCAATAGAGAAGGAGGCTGGGTACTACCACCTGCTTGGGATCCTATAATCAATAAAATTAAAACTAAACCCAAGCATACCACTGCAAGACCTCAGGACATAGTCAGTTCATTTTGCATAGATCGGACCATAAACAATAATTAAAAAAGCTGAAGGTACTTCGGGTTTAACAATGACATCGGGACGTCAGTCATCTCAGTCCCCCGTGACCATGGGTGCTGGAAAGCGCCCGAAACGTCGGGAATTAAAAATAAAAGTAAATAAAAAGTAAAAATAAACGCGATAAAATCCGTAAAAGTAGTTTTAATCAAATATGAGACCTTTCAATGTTCAACACTTCAGACACCTTCAGAAGCTTACTTAATAATGTTGCTCCACACAACTCCATTTTAGGAATTGATATATGTTTAATTGGTGCTACCTTCGTTTTGCAGGTAACCAAGCTGACGTAAATTTTTCCATCCGAATCAACAACTCGCAAATACACTACTGCACTATACGCAGCATTCGAAGCATCTGCAAATCCATGGAGTTCTACCACTTCATCGTCAGCTTTGGTTTTCATCCAACGAGGCAACTTGAATTGTTTTAAATTTTCTAACTCGTTCCGGTAAGTAATCCTTTCCTTGAGTATTATGTTTGGAAGTTCTTCGCCCCAATTTATTCCTGCCAGCCACAATTTTTGGATTAAAATCTTTGCTTTGATTATGCATGGCGATACTGAAATTCGTCGGATTGTCGATTCCAGGTAAGTCCTAAAAGTTTAACTATCTCATCTGTTTTTAAGTTAATCCCTTCTCCTATATCCTTTTCTTCTTCCTCCTTTTTTAACTTTTCCAGTAGTTTAATGTCATTTGTCATCCAATTTTGAAATTCAAACCCTCCATTTTTTAGCATTATGTTTAATTCTCTATAAATCTGTAATCCTTCTTCCACTGTTTGACAGCCCGATAGCAAGTCATCCACATAAAAATCACTAATTATTTTTTTAGCTGTTTCAGGATACAGTACACCTTCGTCACGAGCCAGTTGTTGCAGCGTCTTTACAGCCAAATAGGGCGCTGAAGCGGTTCCGAATGTTAGTCGCAATAAACGATATTCCTGTATACTTGCCCTTGATTTTCTAGTAGCTTCTGCATTTTCGTTATCCTCATCCTCACCATTCCACTGATCACACCATAACAACCGTTGGTAATCTGTATCTTGATCAGCCACCTTGACTTGACGGTACATTTTAATGATGTCAGCTGCCAAGCAAATAGGGTATTTCCTCCACTTTATCAGTAAATGCCTTAATTCTGGTTGTAGGGTTGGCCCTATCATAAGAGCATCATTTAGGGAGTTACCATTTTGATCTTTACAAGATGCATCGAATACGACTCGAATCTTGGTCGTGTTTTTGTCATCTCTAATGACAGCGTGATGTGGAAGAAAGAAAGATTTGTTTCCGTTTTGTTCCTTCTCTGGAACGATCTCCATATGATTTAAGTCTTCGTATTCTTTGATTACCTTAGCATAGTTCCTTTTCAAAGATTCATTATTATTGAATCTAGATTCTAACTGTCTTACTACAAAAAAGTTAGACATCTGTTCAACACGTGTTTATGAAATGAGTTACTACAAAAGAGTGTTTAACGGTGGTTTATGGATAGGCAAGGCTTAGACGTTGTTTAAATTTAAATAGCCGCAAACCCTTGTTTAACTAGTATCTAACCTATCTTTTTCGTCAGTTCAGTATTTTTATTTAACATGGATATAATTGATTTTGTCGATTACTTCGATGAAGACGACATGGATAACTATGCGGAAATGTTCCGAGAAAGTAATACGGTTCGTGTGAGGGTTAATCCGTTTGAAAAATATGACGACACCAAGTTTAAGAAGAAATATAGGTTCAGCAAACTTTTTGCTAGAAAAATATTAGATCTTGTCAAAGACGATATACCGAGTGATTCTCGTGGTAACACAATAGACCCAGCAGTGCAAGTGGCTTGTGCATTACGGTACTGGGCTCGTCATCAAGTAAGTTCGATTCATACAAAATTAAACTATGCTTACGTGTGGCGTCGGTAGAGAAGAATAGCTTCACCCATCACCTGTATGTTTACCTATTATTTGCAATTTTATTTCAGATACAAGATGACAGTGGAGATATGCATGGGATTTCTCAGCAATCAGTGAGCAAAATCGCTTATAATGTTGGGAAAGCATTAGCTAAAAAAGCTCATTTATTCATCAACATGCCCATTACACTAGAAGATCAACAGGAAACCATCAGAGGATTTAGAAGTATATGTAATTTCCCCTCGGTGATAGGGGCTATAGACTGCACGCATATACGAGTCAAAAGGGTAGGTGGCGATATGAGTGAAGCTTATGTGAACAGAAAGGGTTACTATTCTATCAACGTGCAAGTTGTCTGTGATTCAAACTTGAAAATCCGAGACATAGTTGCACGTTGGAGAGGAAGTGCTCACGACTCTTGGGTTTTCAACGAAAGCACAATAAAAGAACGCTTTGAACGTGGCGATTTTCATGGAAGATTACTTGGAGACAGTGGATATACATGTACTGCATATCTCTTTACACCTTTGCTTAATCCTAGTAATGACAAAGAGGAAGCTTACAACAGAGCTCACATTAGAACAAGGAATACAGTGGAGAGATGTTTTGGCTTGTGGAAACAAAGATTCAGATGCCTATTAAGAGGCATGTTTATGAAACTAAGCACAGCGAAAACCACAATTGTAGCATTAGCAGTGCTACATAACATAGCGATTGATATGAATGAAGACATTGATATAGTTCGGTATGTTCATCAGCGGCGCAGGCCACAGACTGAGAGATCTACAGTTAGGGGAGCAATTATTAGACAGCGTTTTATTAACCAAAATTTTTAATATAAGAAATAATAAAAAAATAATGTATGAAAATGTATAATAAAAAAATTTAAAAAAAATGTAAAATTAGTCCTTATATTCTAGTTTTTTTTTAACAATTCTAATTCCAATTTCTTTTTGTCTCTTTCTAATATTAATATTTCAATTTCCAGCCTATGCCGCAACTGCTGATGAGCTATTTCTTGTTCTTGAAATTTTATTTTTAATTTATGTTCTTCTTCCAACATTGCTGAAGCCCGTTCCTTAAATTCTATATTGCTTCTTAATAAAGCTTCCTTGCCAGCCCTGTAACAGACATGATTTACTTATTTAATTAAAAACCGTTAGGCTCAACGAGATGTTAGGCACCTATTTACTAAGTAGATAGTACCATTTTAATGTTCTTTGTGTAATGTACTTATTGTATTGTATTTATGAGAAGAGAAATGATTTATATATTTATTTATTTTTATTATTGAAATCAAAATATGAGAAGTCATCATACATACATACATACATTAATGTCTTTTTTCTCATAATTCTCCTAATAATGGTTGTTCATAGATACAACAGGGCAGTGTGAATCATTTATTAAATGATACTTACAAAACATGAAAATATAGTAAAGTAGATCATAAAAATTATATACAAATAATCTACTTACAACTTATTTGTTTTCTTTTCTCTAATTTGTTTCTTGTCCACCTTTGGAGGAAACATCATTTGTGTTTTTCTGCTGCATTCAGGCATCTTGATATCAATCTGAGTGAATAATGATTTTCATTAAGTTTTATTTATAATTATAAATAAATTATAACTATATTTGTTCTACACGATAGAGCCATGCTGCAGTTATATTAATAGTATAGTCGTAGCACGAATGGGTCGGCTCGACCGGGGGAAGGAGCACACTCTCACAGAATACCAGCGTGAAATAGTAGCTTAATGCTGCTGTGTTTCGTATGGTGAGTGTAGAGAACCTGAGAACCTTATTGCTAGAAAATAGGCGTTCCATCTTAGTCTTCACGGATGACAACTCATCTGCATTCGATGAATCGCATACAAGGGTAGATGTAGATGGCTATGGGCCACATTAACCGCTTACCATCGGTTGCACTGTGTGCTCGTTTGTCACCCTATCCTATAAAAAATAACAGTATGAAGCACCAAATTTTTTTTCAGGTAAACTCACCTCTTCGCTATGCACATTTGCCACTGTAATCATTTGCTGTTCAGCTGGTTCCTCTGCTGGTAGAATTTCATCCTTTGGAAAGAAAAGATTTATTTATTTATTTAAAAAATGAGTAATAACATATTTAATCTAAAACTAATAATATTCATACACACCTCGTCTATATCATACAATGTGTTGTTTTGCTCTTCAGTTCCTCCAAGAACTATAACTTCAACCTGTAAATTAATAAAAGTTAATAAAGCAAAGTTGCATCATTATATTTGGTACATACAATTCAAAAACTTACGTGTTGAGGGACCGCATCGCTGTCATAAAGATTTTCTTCTATAACAAAATCTGTTGGGCAGAGTTCCACTATCTTTAGGTGATCATCACCTGGCGATGTTGGCCTTTGTCCACCACCAGTAGCTTGCAAAGCTCTTCTATGTTGTGCCACAGATTTCTTTGCAGCCACTTTTGTTCGTCTCCAGAAACCCTTTAACTGGGTGATCTCTCTGGATTTCCCAGTGAGTTCCTTAAGACTGCAATAAAAAAGAATACCAATTTTATTATTAATTTAACCTTCTTAAAAATATATTTTGGTGTAACAGAAAAATATAGACTTATCATCTATTTGATCAACATCTATACTAACTAAACAAATCAGTCTGACCACACAATTACCTCTTTTGTACTCTAATCCACTCCAGATTCTTTCTTTTATTTGTATTAGTGTCGGTAAATTTACTTTCTATAATAGGCGCTGACTCCCTCATTATTTCCAAAAACAGATCCTGAAAGTAGTAAATATTTAGGTAATTAAAAACGTAACAAATAAAACAAGCAGTGTTATTATTATATATTCTTAATAATTAGCTCATGCGGCTTAAAAAACTAGACCAACTTCCTAAAACGAATAGTACAAAAGCGTAACTAACCTTTTCCTCTTGAGTCCAATTTTCGCCTCGAGCACGATTCTTTTGATTCTCAGGCGTATTATTTCCTTTCGACTCCATTATTTAATACGATAAAAGTGAACACAAATTAAATACAGCGAAACAATTTACAAACACGATGCAGGCAACGGTCGCGGACGCTTGTTTGACAACTGACATTGAGCATTGACATCTATACAAAGATGGTTGCGTTTGACATAATTTCACATTTATCTTCATCTAACTGCCAAGCATAACTGATATGTTTTTGTTAATAAGTAATATATTTAATGAATTTTTTTACAAAGAATATAGATAAACATATATATATAGCTTTTTTATTATTGAACTTTGAGACAAAACAAAATTTAATTTTTATGTAGTTAGTCGTATTAATTTGCGTAAAATAAAACGAATGATCGAATGCTGAACGAATGTATTGCAGTGTGACCTGTAGAATAAAGTTGAACGTTGTCTATAGAGGCACGCGTTAAACACGGTTTAGTGGTAGCGAAATTTAAACCATTGTTTAACATTTAAGTGTGTTTGTCATTTAAGTCCGTTTTTAACTAAACACATGTTGGACCAGTGTTTAAATGCTTTTTTTGTAGTACGACTGTAATGATCTAAGCCTTTTCTCTGCGATCAATTTAGAATTCTCAAACTCGACATTTTGTTGTTTAAATGGAAGTCGCACTATATAACGTCCCTGCGAGTCTCTGCACGTTGTTTGTGCATAAAACCTTTCGCACTCTTCTTCTTCCTGCGATAATATTTTTGATTGATTCTTGGGTTCAGCTTCCATTTCCCAAAATACCTTGAGGTAATCATCCGTCAAAGCAAGCATTACAACGACGTGGTTGCTTCGGATCTGTTGTGTAGTACCTGAAATTATCCAACCCAGAGAGGTACTTTGAGCGACTAATGATCCTTCTGATCCCCTTTTGATTTGACCTTGTACGACTTGACCGTATACCTCTGCACCCAACAAAACATCAATTTTGTTGTTATGTGTTATGTGTGATATTGTGGGTCAGCTAAGCATATGCCACTTTTATTTACCCACTCTAATTCAACAACCTTTTTACTAGGAAGAAAAGAGGTAATAGACTTGAGAATGTAAGCTTGAACGGTTATCACTGTGGTGGAATCGAACCTTAAAATTTACCATATATTTAACAGCAATGTTGTTGTTACCCTCCAATTCAGATATACGCCCCTGTACAGCCATCTTCTTAAGACCCAAGTACTGAGCAAGCGCTTCCGTGACAAAAGAGGCTTGGGAGCCTTGATCAAGCAGCGCTCGGATTAAATAACGCTCTCCGTTAAATGACTCTGCCTTAACCAGAGCTGTGGCTAACAGAATCTGACTTTGAACTGGCGACTGATTCGATGAATAGCACGTGATAACAGGGACGCTTTCTACTGAGCTGGATGACGCCGCCATATTTTTAGTGGATGAACGCTTAATATCCTCACCAGACAAAGAAACGAAAATTTTACTAGACCCTTGAGCACTAGCAGAACCACTAGGCACATCACCAGACCTACCTGAACCTTCATTTTGAGACATTTTAGGATGAAGCATCGAATGATGTTTACGTTTACAAATTCTACAGCTTAAAGTACTTTGGCATATCTTGGCTGCATGATGACCAAAACAATTAAAACACAGACGGTTCTTCTCAATAAAACTTCTACGGTTATCAATATCTTCCTTGGCGAACTTTTTACAGTTACCAATTTTGTGATTGTCAGAACAGAATTCACATTTAAGTTCAGTTGCGTGAAAAATCTTAGGTTTATAAACATTTTGTGACTGAATTCTTTGAGCCTTGTGTGATACTGATGACTTAGGTTCCAGAAACTCTAAAGTGCGATAACGTTTCGTAAAAAGAATTTAAATTGAGTGAACTTAGGAAGTTCGTCTAGTTCACTGTTGTTGCTAATATAGATTTCCCACTCTTATCTGGAATCTACGTCAAGTTTAAGGGTTAACAAGTGTATTATAAGTATATCCCAGGAGCACACATCGACTCCTATATTTATTAACGCACTTAAACAGTCAGCGGTGGTGTCAATCAATCCCTTTAACATTTGCACAGACTCTTTTTCGACTTAACAATTTTTTGAGAATAGAATGACACAAGAATTTCTTATTGTTATATCTCTAATTTAATAATGTCCAACATCTCGTATAATTTGAATCAGCAATTGGAATCTGTCTAAGAAGTTGTTCTGGTTCACCAGACAAATAACCTTTTAAATAGTGCATTTTCTGCACATTGTCTAACTGAGAATTACTATGCACTAACGATACAAAAGGTACGTAACGGTACGGTACGTACGTAAAGGTAGGTATTACAATTCGAGGCAATTGAATGTTTGTACTCTGAGTCTGTGAACTATTTGTATCCAACACATTTGAAACAACCTTTACTGGTTTTTCAAAGGTGTCCAGCACTTGTTTTAAAACTGTTTTATATTCCACATACAACTCTTCAACTAATTCATACATGTTATCTTTAAAATAAGCGAATTTTCTGTCAGTAGATGCTCTCACAATCTTGTCGTGTGTATCATTAAACTTAGACCAAAGTTCATTTAGAGAATCTAATCTGATTTGTACATATTGCTGTGTTATTCCCTCGTTAGGACTCTTTTTATAATTTATTAAAGCCTTTTCATACGGTCATAAGAATCGACCTGCAAGTTAACTAAATCTTCCATTTTGAATCAAAACTTGCCAAACTAAGCGACCGATCCACAGTCGGCTCGAAGTACCAACACTATCTATAATCCAGTACATAGGTATGACGAGGTAGTTCGAGGTAGGTATGTATTTGAAATAAAACTTCAATATACAGTACTAACAAACCAATTAGTTTTCTTTATTGTGAGCCGTATGAACC